ATCAAATTCCCTCACACTTAAGCTTTTGCTTGTGCTCAAGCAACTGAACTTCCAGAATTACAATAATCACCGCACGACATCAAAACGGTCAGCATGTAGAAGTAGTTAAAGGGATACTCGCAGAAAAACAGAATAAATTAAGAAAATTTCTTCCATAAACTACCTCTTTGTACTCTGGCTAAAATTACTGACAAAAATAATCACAACATCACTGAAGTTAAAACAACGCACACAAGTAATCTTACTCCTGATCAGAAGGATTTGTGAAAGTGACGGTGAATGTTGCACGGTCCCTTTCTTTGAGAGATTGGAACAGCCTGACAATGACTCAAAGTATTCGGGAGTTTCGGGGCTATTCTTAGGATCAAGGAATTCAGCAAGACACTAACTAGGAACTCTTATCTATCTCTATGCGAGGACTAGCCGAGGAGTAGGCATGGTGTATAACTAAGCTAAACCGTCGCTGAAAATTTGTGCTTTGACGTATACTTGAGGTGCGCGAATGACTAATGCTAATTTTTTGCAAAAGCCTTCAAGTCCAATTTTAATCAGTTATTTTTCCTTGTCATTTTGGCACGAGATCGTCATTTCTTTAGAAAGATTCCAAGTCTCATCTTATTGTGCAAGACACTCACACTTTTTGACCGGATCTCCCATTCTCTTTTTCGCAATGTAAGAGGTCTAGCTATATTAATTAATTTTTTTTTATGATTTTTACTAGACATTACTACATTCTAATCCTGGCCTCACCAAGGAAATTTAGCAATTAAGGTTCATTTAAAAAAGTGAATCCATGCCTACAATGCAATCCTAAAAATATCAAAATCCTAAAAAGTGATTACTCTTACCCCATTTGGGACATAGGAACAGTGCCCAAATCGGCTCCTACAAAACTTCATAATCTTAGCAAATTAACCCCCTAGTTTCCTAAACACCAAAATACTGTCACAATTGATCACGGGTAAGAACATAGACCATTTGGCATTAGAGCTCGATTTATGGGTAAAAGAACAAAACGGTCAAGCTCAAAATGGCTTCTCCTAAAGGACTTATTCAAGTGAGATGAAATATTAAGAATAAAATGGATAACTAATGCCTTCATCCCCTCATCAACCAAATTAATAGTGCAAACAATTTAAGCCTAAAAATTCCAAAGACATTCTTATAGTATACTCACAAATCTAGTCAGCTCACAAAGAAACAGTTTAAACAAAAAAATTACAAAAAATTGACATGACTTTTCTACCAATATACATTTAACATTTGCGCATGCTAAAACTAATAATCTCACGTAACAACTACTGCCCGAAAGCCCGATTCACTCCCCACACTTAAACTTTGGCATCGCCCTCGATGACCATAAATGCAATATAAACAAGGGGTAAAAAGGAATGGGTCACACGTGCTCAACTAACTCAACCCAACAGAAAATAACAAGAAAGGAAAGTAGAAAGTCTCCTAGATCTTTGTCTCGGGCACCAGACACACCGGGTCAGCAATTTCAATGGCACATCATCTCTTGGGAGAAATGTGGAGCTGCAAAAACACAACACAAAACCAAAACGGGCGAAACCCCCCCAATTTTGTTTTTGGGATTTTTCCGAAGTTAACCGAAAGCGATAAACAACAACAACAAATGTGAAAAAAGAAACTTGGGTTACCTCCCAAGAAACGTTATTTTTAACGTCGTTTGCTCGGCGATACCTCATATGCTCTCAAATAGCAAAAACTACAGTGAGACCCTAATCATCAAAGTATCCAGCTTTCCCTCAACAAATGCCATTATGTAGCGCAAATTCTTAAATTCTTGAAACCACGTAGGAATCACATGGTCTTCATGAACCTCATTAGCAAACAAGGGTAGAATGATATTCACACCCTCATGCTCAAAATGCATCACAAACACATGTTTTTATCGCTCAAATGTACCATGAAAATTCAGAGTATCCACTTGACTCAATATCACTCCACACGAAGGCATCCCAACTCTCATTGTCACTGCTCTTATTAATATCTTCCATGAACTTGAAATCATTCTCCACACAAGAAGGAATAGCAACCTAAGGAGTGAATCAAAGAAATCCAAATCTGGAATAACGTAAGAGCCGATCGCTGCATGTGCACAAGAGGGGTAATCTTGCATGTGTAGTGAGACTTCTTCATTATGGACATCATTCTTCTCGTTACCACTCTCTTGGAGCTTGTGATTGTCTTCTCTCAACTCATCTTCAATATTCAAACCTCCTTCAGTGGCTTCAACAATGTCATGACCGATCTGCTCCATGGCCTCACCAGGGGTTGAAACTAATGGTAAATCAAACAGTTGGAGAGTTTCTATATGAAAATCAAGGTGATCTGTGTCTTCATCAGTTTCAGACTGTATCGTTTGAAACTTTTGCATGTATTGTATGGATTCTTGATGCACAGACTCAAGCCCACTCTCTTTTTGTTGAAGTTCAAACAAGGATGGAATTTTAAAAGCATCAGGAAGTGTATCATCCATCATATTCCCACCATCGTAGCCCTGACTCACTCCCATGATCATCCATATTGGTCTCCTCAGGTTCGACTTCTGCCGACTGACCCACCACGTTGTTTAGATTCCGGATTTGAGACGTGATGAACTAAATGAGTATCTCTTTCAAGTCAGACAGTCTCTCTGAAATTGTCTCCTTGAATTGGTTTGTGCTCATTATGCGGTAATGATGTAGAAATGACTGAAACATCTGTGTTCTTAATTCGTGGGGAGGAAGAAGTGTGGTATACAGTTGCCCAGAAAGGATGATCGTATGGAGGTTTAACACGGCAAAGAGATAAATGGTGACATCCTCCACAGAAGGAACATGTGCTATTCTTAGGAAAGTAATGAGACAATTCCTCAGGAGTTTTAGTTTGAAGAAGATATTCAAGAATAGAGCGCGATCTTACCCTAGGGTATTGCGAGGGAGTATAATGGTGAGAAGAATGAGATTGAGAGTATTGCGTACTGTGAGGAGGGTAAGGATAAGAAGACTGAATATATTGTGGTATGAGAGAGTAGTATTAATGATGAGTGTAATTTTGATGAATGATGATGAATGTAAGGAGGATAGAGCATATATGGTGAATATGTTGTGGAAGTTTGAGGGTAAGGTGTTCCTTCAGGAATTGAGCTGAATTGATTCATCTCATGTCTCTTTTAAAAAGTATTTTTTCCTACCTGAAAGGTTAGCAAAGAAAAATTCTACGAACAAACTAAAGGAAAAAACTAACTAAAAAAATATCGTTGAAATTTATCTAACACTTAAACCGACATTGTCCCCGACAACGACGCCAAAAATTGTTGTGTGTTTTTTCGGACTAAAAATTTGTAGTAATATAGGGTTTAAGTACGAGTACGTATCCACAGGGACGGAAAAAAACAACCAGGAATTAACTAAATTTAATGATTAAAATAAATAAATAAATAAAATGCAATTGTGCGAGATTTGGATTAATGGAAAAATTAAAATGCGAAAAAGCAATAAATATAAAAGTCTCTTTCTAATTAATGATGTAAGGGAACAATGATTAATTCTGGGGTAATCAGATTTCAGGTTGATTATGCTTAATCACATGTAAATTATTTAATTGAGCAACACTGATCAATGTTAAATTTTTTGCGATCTCGCGGCATATAGTACAATAACTTAGGGAATCAAATCGATCTCTCATGCAACAAGTATCTAGATGACAATTTGGTGTGATCCTTTCCCCGAATGTTGTGGGGTAAATATGACTAAGATGTTATCAATTTAAACCGGGAAAACTATCAAATAAGCCCCCGTACTATACCGAAAAAGTCGATTAAGTCCTCGTACTTTACAAACACTCAATTAAGTCCTCGAACTATTAAAAAACGTTCAATTAAGCCCTTTCGGTCGGTAAGTAACCGGTTTCCCGGTTAAATGTAACCCGTTTGCCGGCCGCCGCCGTTGGTGGGGTTCGAGCACATCGTCTCCGCCGTCTCCCTTTAACCGGGGCTAGTGTGAGCCCTAATTGACTTTTTCAAAATAGTACGGGGGCTTATTTTGATAGTTGGGAAAACTATCAAATAAGCCCCCGTACTATACCAAAAAAGTCAATTATGCCCTCATACTTTACAAACACCCAATTAAGTCCTCGAACTATTAAAAAACGTTCAATTAAGCCCTTTCGGTCGGTAAGTAACCGGTTTCCCGGTTAAATGTAACCCGTTTCCCGGCAGCCACCGATGCTAGGGTTCGAGCACATCGTCGCCGTCGTCGCCGTTTAACCGAGAAACCGGTTACTTATCGACCAAAAGGACTTAATTGAAAGTTTTTTAATAGTTCGAGGACTTAATTGAGTGTTTGTAAAGTACGAGGGCCTAATTGACTTTTTCGACATAGTTCGGGGGCTTATTTGATAGTTTTCCCTTGATAGTTTTGCCATTTAAACCTATGTTTAAAAAACCGACCCGACCCGGCCGGGTTGACCCGGAACCCGGTGACCCGGACAAAAATCCGGTTTGGTTTCTTCAAAACCCGAGAATGGTCAAAAACCGGAAAAACCCGACTGACCCGAAAAAAACCGATCCGGACCCGACCCAAGAAACCCGAAAAACCCGGGAAAACCCGGTTTTCGGTCTTTTCCAAAAAAAAAAGTAATTTCTTTTTTAATTTTAATGCATTTTTTAAACCAATAAAATTGCAATTTCAATTCCCTAAAAAGAAAAACTTTGTAATATATTTATATATTTATTTAAGAATGAAAATCATGTCAAATTATAATATAAATGTACAATACAAATAAAAATATATAATGACAGTGTATATAATTATAAGTTTATTATTATTATTATATAGACGTATAATCGTTGACCGGTTTTCCGGCTTTGACCGGGTTGACCCTCTGGGTCCGGGTTGACCCGTGACCCAGTCACATGACCGGGTCGCTCACCGGTCCGGTTTTTACAACATAGATTTAAACCCATTCTTCCAAAATAAAGTGTAACAAACAAAACAAAGGACTAAAATGCAATCACCCCCGGGCTAGTGTGCGGCCGCTTGCCGCTGCTCGTATCAACTATCTTACAGGTCTGTTTCCTGCAGCACCGCAAACTGCTTCCACTTTCTAATCCCTCGGCCACTCCACACAAGTCACACTCCCAGAATTCCATCTTGCTTTGATGAATCCGTCGAACAGCAGAAGCAACGGTTGCGCAGAAGAAGATTCCAATCACGAAAAAGATGAAACTTTCGTTCAAATTTATGGCCCACAGGTTTCTCCATCTTCTCCCCTGGCCTCTGCCGCATATTTTTGTGGGAGGTAGTCGAACATATATCTGTTTAGGTTTTCTCATCTCATGCCTATGCTTCTGAACTCATATTAGAAGAAGCGACGTTTTTCCTTTTGGTGCGCTATGGGTGGAATTCATATGTTTATGGGCATAGTGTCACAGTTAAGTGGAGGTTAAGAAGTTAACTTTCGCGGAGGGAAAGCTGTTCCCGAACTCTTTAACTCAGTTCATTGCTATTATGTCTGCTGAAGCGATCTGAGCACTAACAACATAGGTAAAACAATTCGCTTGGGAATGGGATAGGCAAATTTTAAATTCAAAGTAAAAACTGGACAGGAAGTGGTATAAGAATTCTGCGACCTGTGTCCTCAGCTCCTTGCATATACATAGCTTAACGGTTTAGCATTTTGAGCTTGAATGCTTATTCTTACACAAAACCTGGGAGTGCATAAGAAGATGGTAGCTTTATGTATTGTGCATAAGAATTTATCTGCTTGTATAAAGTTATAAACAGTAACAAAGATGAAAGATCAGAGCTTTAGCCAGCGAAATACTGAGCTGTACACTGTCTTTCTTGCTTCCCTCTGTCCATAGGAAAACATGACTGATGAGGTGTTCAACTCCATAGAATTAGTGTGCTATAGAAATGTTAGAGCTTCAAATGCTCTTTCTTTTCCCTGGCAATCTTCTCCACATTTATCTAAATGAAATATGCATGCTGTACTGCAAACCTTCTAGTGGCTATGAATCCTTAACATTTGTTTATGAACAGGATGTTAGAATGGTGTGTTCATTTCTGGATGCAAGAAGGAATAGTTATCCGTTAAACTGATAATTTCATTAAAAGTTCTTTTCGTGCAAGAAGAGACATCCTAAATCATTTATTTTATAAACTGTTTATAATAATGGCCCTCAAGTTTGCCATTTACTCCAGGGTAGAGCAGAAGTCGTTTTCAAGCAGCCAGAAGCAAACTCAACATTGAATTTGCAAGTATGGTTTCACGGCTATGCAGAATATTGAAATATGTTTTGCCATTTCTTTTAAATGAATTAACCGTATTTGGTTTGCTCACCAAGGAAGTGCAAGGCCTTGCCACCTGGGTGCTTGCTGAAGGTTTCATGCCATCATGGGTTTTTATCAAAGTAATGAAATTGTGATTCCTTTATATACCGTTCATTCAATATATGTATTGTTGTTTTTCCTGCATACATACTTGAATCACAATGAAAGGGACTAATTTATCTTGGTTGTGAAGGGATATGAGGAATGAGATACTTGTGAATGATAGTACCAGCTTTCTTTCAGTATACTATGCTTATAGTTGTTATTGCTCTCTGCTAGATATCAGTGCAGACAAATAAAGCACAACTTGTTGTGTGTTATTACTTATTAGACCCAAGTTTAAGTGTTTGCTACAATAAGGTTTGGCACCGTGTTTAACGGAAAAGTTTTAGGGGTGATGAATAGTTTAGAAAAAGTAGGAGAGAGGGTGGAAAAGTATGAAAGAGGAGATTAAAAGTAGGAAAAATAAGGGTAATTGAGTATTTTTAAAGGGAAAACTTACCAAAAAAGGGAAAGTGTAACAAAAGCTATAATGCATCCCAAAAAGGAAAGTGTAGCAAACATTTCAATATGGAGGGAGTATGTAATTGGACCTATATCATTGTGATACTAGCTTTTACATATGTTGGTAAATAGGTAATGAGTTATTTTACTCCCTCCGGCCCTTAAAACTTTGCCAAAATTTTCCTTTTTTAGTTGTTCTACTAACTTTGCCACTTTCCCTTTTTGGTAAAGAATTTGTGGTTCCTGATAATTCTCTCTCTTCTGCACAAACCTCAAATCTGGAAAAGTTTTAAGGGACGGAGGGAGTATAATTTTAACTTTATGCCTTAGCTATGTTCTAGGAGTAAAAAACTGAAGTATATATTATTTGTTGGGCAAATGATAGCTAAAAAGTCATCCAACTATAAGGGGTTTCAATACAATTATAAATAGTAGATGTATGTTCAATAATATGTAAAAATTGCTTCTCCAATAAACAGGATTCTTGAAGATTCTAAGCGAGCAAAAACATCTTCTCCTTACCTTGTAAATTGAAAAGGATATATAATCACAAAGTAGGGTTCATGATGCAGGTTTGTGTATGTATGCAACTACACAAATAAATGCTCATAAGTTTTGTATTACAATATTTTCTTAATGCAGTTAATTGTTAAAGATATTTTGTACAATTGTACATAAATATGTTTTTGACATATGAGTCATAAGGTTAGGCTATGTTTAATGGGCAAATGCTACATGCTGACTGCTAGCTATGTTCTTACGTGTTACTATCGCTTTTTATGGTTCCCTGTAAATTTGCATCACAATGATATATCATCTCATGAGAGGTTAACACCTCTAATTCTATCTCTACTTTCTGCAGAACAAGCCTTTGATTCCAAAAGTAGTTATGCTGTATGTGCCTGGGCTTGATGCAGCGCTCTACTTGTCGCGATCTAGAAATCTCAAAGGTTTTAAACAATGTTGTGGCATTCCAAGAGCTGTTCTAGCTCTCAGGTGGCTTTTCAATATAATGAATATATGTGACAATTCCTTGCAAGTTTCAACTCTCGCCAATAGTATTTATTTATTAATGTATTTATTTATTTATTAATTTATTTATTTTACTCTATGGTAGCTGTGTATCAGATGGGACACAAACTATAGATGCACTCCTGACCTACAAAATGAAAAGAAAAAGGGATGATGCTGAACATGTCTCAAAAATGGTTGCTGAAACATCTAAACAAGGTGTACTTTGTAAAATAGTCATGTGTTTAGTAATTTCTTGGAAAAGGAATGTTTTACCTAGATGTTTGACATTTCTATGCCCTGGAGTAGGAAGGAAACAGTAATTCAACAAATGCATCTACACACGGTTATTTAATTTTTTTTAAACACAACCTTTGTTGAAAAAAAAACTGCAATAGATTCATCCAAAGTAGCGTGGGTTTTAGGACTTACTGTACTCTTAGCGTGATGAGGCTTTATTCAGTAAGGTGTGTTGGCTTACTTAAACATCGTTAGTCGAGTTTCATGAGTCGAATTATGTATGTTTTGAATCCATTTATTAGATGACACTGATCTCGGACTATAACATTAGGTGGCCTGCTGGAGTATTTGAGTGCCTTTTCATGAGGCTATGCTTGTTAACTAAGAAAGCAGTAAACAGTTAAACATGAGAAATATACATATTGGAGCCTGTAACGAACAATTTGATATGCAGTCGTAATTTACCACATATGACTCATACGATCATTGGTCTGATAATTTGATCATTGAAACAGTATTGATAAAGATAACTAGAAATACATGTTTGTAATAAACAAAAGTCGTTTGATCATGCCTACCCCCTCAGACCCCGTGAACCCCCATGAGAAACAGCCGTGTAACCAGGGATGTAACCCATGTGGCCATGTGTATGGAAGAGATCTGCCTAGTTAATGACATGGCTATGAAAACAAGCTGGTTGTCTAACTATCTTGCTGGACCTTTAATGGGATACATGTTTTTTGTTCATGCAGGGTGTACCGCTTCAAGCTCAGAGGTTTCATCTTTTCACGACCTTACGAAAAACATACCATTTCCTGTGACTTATTATACCCTTACTGCTAAGGAATTGGAAGATAACTCATACTGTTGTGATAAGCCAGGTGCTAAGGATCTCTAAATTGAATATTATGTAGTATTACCGCTGGGTTTATAGAGTAGTCAGTTCCTTACCTTATTTTTGCATAACAGACTATCGCTCAACACTTCCTGCTTCTTCAGGAACTCCTCCATATGAGATTTTAGCACTTGATTGTGAGATGGTAAGTCCAATCTAATTTATATGCTGTTTTCTTGTACTTTGTATTTCCTATGCATTAGATACAATTGCGTGTTATTCTTAAAATATGTGCACGGGTTATCTTGTTGAATCACCACATTGACTGTTTCTACATCCTTCCACGTTGAACCATATACAAGTAAGTCACATTCGGAATCTTTATTTCATAAAAAAGATTTCACTAGAGGAAGTACTTCGGACCCATAAATGGTTCAAAATGTAGCACAACTCATGAATTACACAGACTGAAATTTAGGGTTCCACTGTTTCAGTAGACAGGGGTTACGTTAGGTCAAAATGTTGGTTCCTACTTCCTAGATTACTAAACATTAAGTGTTTGTAATAACATATACGGAGTATAAATCTATGCATTAATGTGGATCAACACAAAAGTTTGCCCTGAAATCAGTTTCTTGACTAATAGAATATCACTTAGCTGAAGTGTTCAATAATATACGAGTATCTGATGCAGGCTAGCCTGTTCTTAGAAGCTCTTCACCTACTTACTTCAAATGCCAATCTTTCTTTTCAAGGATGATCCCAGTAAGATATTGCTGGAGCTGAATTATCTTAATTCCAAAGCTCATCCATAACTCCATCCAGAGCAATGTTTGAAAACGCATATCGCGTAACTGAGGCGGTTTCTTAGCATTTTTTTACACAAGTTTACATAAAAAATACAAATGATGTAACAGAAATAAAAATGGGTAATGGTATGCCCCACTAAAGAAATGGGTCTGCGTCTGGGTCGGAGGAGGATTAGCTACAGTCAAACCTTACCTCTACCCCAAGGAGTAGAGAAACTTTTTCCTTGAAGACCCTAAGCTAGCTAGTGGAAACTTGCGAGCCCAGTTCAGAAGATGATAAAACTTTAATAACTCACAGAACTTAAAAAAATTAAGATTTGAATCAGAAAAATGTAACCAAAGACGAAAGGTAGCAGTGAACAAGCAATTAGTATAATATAATAACATAAAACAACTTAAAGGGGACAGTAAAATAAAAAGAAGGTAAGAACATAGGTAAGCAAGCAAACTACTAGCTATTGCCCAAATCACACTTCTAACTAGAGGACCAAGAAGCCCCCTACCTCCAAACACGGTTTCTCTAGATCCATACAAGGAATCTACTACCCTTATTCAGCGTCTCCAAAGCACTTGAAAGGTCATATCCTCGATGTGGTTTAATGCTACTGTGTCCAGCCCCAGCTGCACTAAGATTCAGGCCACCTGAGAAAATAGACGGATGATGTAATACACTGACTTTTTGAAATGTCATGTTTTTTTTAGTTGTTAAGTTGTTAAGACTTGACATTTTTTAAAGCTTAAAAGATTAAATGTTGGTGTATTTCTCAACAACTTACCCTTTCTTTGTCTTGAAACCCTAAGCCTAGGTGTATTAGGCTGAGCCCATTCTGTGCAGTTAGTCTAGTTGCAGCTATTTCTACACCTTGACACCTTGTACAATCATTTGGGAACACACAATAAGAATAAAAGTAGTTTATTTCACACTTCATTTAAGCGTTGTTTTTTACTTTTATTCATTTTGTATTTTTCATATCCATCACTATTTATCAGGGCTAGTCGTATTATAGTAATTAGCTAAATTGGATTCATGTTATGTATCATGGAGCACCATTTTCTTTTCCATTGTGTGGATCCTTTTCTATTTGGTTGGAAGGGGTGGCTGATACTTACATAACAGTGATAGGACATATACATTATCCTTGAGAATATGGTACACCTTACCACTCTTATTTATTTTTACTTTAAATCTTTAAAAATTGACAGTGTATTACAAAAGAAGGATTTGAGCTCACTAGAGTCACACTGGTAGATTTTAAAGGGCAGGTATTGATGAATCCATCTATCCTGTTACTTATTCTGATACATATAAACATAGGGTAATTATTTATATTGCTTAACCGTTTCTTTCATGTGCATTCTCTCCTTTCCAATATTGCCGGTGAGTTGAAAGGCTCATACTCCAATACTCCACAAGAGTTTCTGTCTCAAATGAATATCTTGGTTTACCTTTACATGCCAGATGCCTCTTAAGTCTTAAAGTATAGGACCTGATTAGGCAATTTTGTTGCGTTAGTTTAAAAGATAATTATTTTAACAAAAGCAGAAAATGAACTACTCCCTCCGTCCCTTAAAACTTTGCCAACTTTCCTTTTTTGGATGTCCCACTAACTTTGCCACTTTCTCTTTTAAGTAAAGAATTTGTGGTTCCAGTTAATTCTCTCTCCTCTGTACAAACCTCAACCACACAGTTTTTACTTTATTAATCCCCGTGCCGGTCAAACTTAGCAAAGTTTTAAGGGACGGAGGTAGTATGATAAACTTCTGGGAAACTGGAAACTCTTTTAGGATGTTTGAAAAGCAAAACAAGATCCAATCTGATGGTTCAGTTTTTTTTTTCCCTTTGACCAAGGGTATGGATCTGAAAAGATTCGGTCCATTTAAAAGTACAAATATGCTATGGTTTCCAAATTATTCATCAATACCCTTACATTTGCAACAGTAACAGTACCTAAGTACGTAACACACATAACTACTTCTAGTTCTTTGCTCAGTTCATGTAAAAAATGCCGATGGAAAGGAGCATGACTTTTAGGTTGTTATGAATTCTATGGCCTAAAAGCACAGTTTTGAAAAGTACTAAGGCTATTCCTTTAGGCGTGCTTCGATGCTAAGAGCTGTAAAATCATCTTGAGCCTTCTATTTCTCTCTATCATGGAGAATCAAACACCACATTACCACACCCGGCCAGTGGCCACCCAGGTGAAGCGCACACCTTCAGGGTTATGCCTCTATTAATCTGCACAGACGAGACAGTTCACTTGTGACCCCCCCCCAGAGTTTGGTCCAACAAGGTTTACTATTCATTTTAAAATCTACGCTGATTTAAGTTAAGATTAAAAGGAGCTGAATCCAACTAGAATCCTAAAACATTAGATCTTTATTCTTTGCCTGATCTGCTCTCTACTAGAATGCCTTTTTGACTGTGCTCGACTCATCTTGTCTCTACTGGATTACTTGTTCATCCTTCTTCCTCTCTACTAAATTTTCTAATATACAAAGTTGTGCAGTGCCGTGAACCTTTTTGTTCCTCACTTCTACGTGCCCAATCATCTGTCAATTCTATACAAAATACAATAAAACTACTGGGCCATCTATCTTGCAAATCAAGATGTGGGCCATGTGGCCAATACTAGCTGATCTATTAAACCTTTACATGATTTCTGAAAAGCTTTTTGTTATCATGGAATTCTATAGTTTTGTTTAAGTAATGGGTTTTGTCAAAATTTGGCAGGTTGTATTAGATAAACTGGTTAAGCCACTAAATGAGATTACTGATTATAATACAAGGTATGTTCTTGAAAACCTTTTCTTCTTGTACATGTATATGTTTTTCTTCTGAGGATAATTTTCATTAGTTTACTTTTGAAATTAAGAAACTTCTTACATTCTATACTGTATTTCTTATAAAAACATACGATGGTCATATTCTATCCATTAGGAGTCTTTTGAGGTATTCAATGGCGCCACTGTATTTGTATCATGATGCTTATATTCCAGAAATTATGATTTTATTTCAGGTACAGTGGAATTACTCCTGAGATGATGAATGGGGTGACGACCACTCTTAAAGATATTCAGGTTCAGTGGCAGGGCCTTTTGCCGCATAATTATTTCTTGGTTCTCATTCGTTGTTGTAAAAGAAGCGTTCACATTACTGTAAACTTTTGTGTAATAGAGTTCCTTAACTTTTAGGCAGTTTGGCATAAAAACACCATGATTTCTATTTCATTCTCTTTGGGGGGTTAATAACCATTGCACATGTCTTCAGGAGGATTTTCTACAACTGGTCTATAAAGAGACTGTTCTGATTGGGCATTCCTTAGAGAATGATTTGTCAGCTCTAAAGATAGTTCACAATTTGGTAATTGACACTGCTGTATTGTACAAACACCCGAAAGGAAGATCATACAAAACTGCACTTCGTGTTCTGAGCAGGAAGTTTCTTGGAAGGGAGATCCAAGATTCTGTAAATGGGCACGATAGCGTTGAAGATGCAAGAGCTGCAATGGAACTGGCTCTGCTTAAGATTCAAAATGGTATGTTTTTTTTCTTATGCACAATGTACAAAATATGCAATCAAGTTGTGCCTAGTGTAACATGATATTTTACATTGTTATTGCAAAACTTGTGTAATGTATTACTCCTCCCTCCATGTCAGAATGTAAGATACATTTGGTGATTTGGGCTGAGCACGCGTTTTAGGAAAATAAAGGAGATAGTTGTTACTTTACAATTGTTTAACCTTCAAAAAGAAAAAAAAAGTAGTATGGGCCCACAAAATAGTAAGGCGTGAAATGATATACATAGTATAAATTGATAAATTCGGAAAGAAAAACTAAAAGCATAATGGAGTTCAAATTACAAGTGTTCATAGACAAAGAAAATTAATAATAGCTCTTTTGGGACTAAGGCTTGGATGTTGTTGTTGCTATGCAAATGTGCTTAAACTTGCCATTTGATAGTTGGAAAAACTTGGTCAGCCGCCTTGACAGTAGATGCTGAAACATTTTTTGTAACTTTTATTAGTTGCTAAAATCATATTGCTTTATCCGTGTACTTTCGTATTGAAGAAACCTAAGTTAATAATAGATGGAATGTGGACTAATTGATGCTGTGTTTCTATTGTACGAAGTATAAAGCATTGAGCTTTTGACAACTTGTAAATCCTTACCACATTTCCCCCCGGATAACGTAGCACTACATCGTTCGTTAATAGTTCCAACACTTTGACTTTTGCTATTAATGTATTAAACAATCACATTATAAAATATAATACCCACTCCATCCCAAAATGATACCCCATTGCGGATTTTTAGGTTTGACCAATGAAAAAGTTTACTTCTCCCCAACAATACCACAATTAGAATTAAAAGTTAAAATTTAGAAATTATGATAAAAGTTATATTGAATCGCAAAATTAAATTTGAATATGATAAAAACTGATGCACAAATTTAGGGATCAAAAGTGAAATGCGTTGACTAATGAATAGTAAATTGGTTAATTGGTACCATTGTTCTGGGACAGAGGTATTATTAAATTTGTCTCAATATAAATTTTCAAAAAAAACTGTCGAAGTTAATGGTAAAAAAGTTAATGTCTCAATGTAATGTTGTTAATGGTCAAAGTTATGGTTTTGAAAACTTGACTGTTAAGTGTTGCCACTAATAAAGAACGTAGGTAGTATTTATAACAAGACACATGCATAAAATTTTAGATTGTTAGGTACGTAAATATTTAACTATACAATCTATTGAACCTTATAAATAACAAAAATATGTTTCGCTTATTTCTAGATAGCTCTCCCCCAACTGGTTGGTTCTTAGCATATAACAATTCAATAGAGAGCATCTTTCATGGACACCAACAATCAAATAGAGAATTGCAATGTGAGAATTATTATGTCTTGTTTGGTATGAAATGAATGATATTGAAGTGCCACTCTCTCATGGACTGATCTTTTAGAAAATTGCATTATGAATTTCATTATAATTATTGTTTTGATAATCTGGAACTAGGACCTGATTTTGGTTCACCGCGATCAACTTTTATGCGGAAGAAACTCCTCACAGTTTTGAGTGACTCTGGAAAAACCTCTTCCATAATTGATAGTATATCCATAGTGAAGAAGTACGCCTCTGAGTCATCCCATTCCATTGCAGTGTCATCTGATGATGAAGCTCTTTCAAAAGCCAATAAAGAGGTAGGTAAATGAGGATTGCATCTTTTCAAAAGCTCTTACACTGCATATTTTATGTGTAATTTTTTCCTTTCCCTGTTTTGTTGCCTTTGCAGGTGAGAAATCGTAAGGTGCATTTCATTTGGACCCAGTTTTCCGAATTGGATTCCTACTTCAAGAAAGAATCAGATGATGCAGAGAAGCTGAATAGGAAGTTAGCACAGATGATATCACTGCTAACGTGTGAGAGCAAGAAGGCTTCAAACAAAAAAGGCATCAAATATGACATCACACCTGAATTGGAAACCATTCTGAACCGCATGGATACCAGGGTTAAAAACCTCTATGCCAATCTACCTCAAAATGCGATGCTTATTATTTGCACTGGTCATGGAAACACTGCAATTGTTCAACGGTAAATTTGAAATGATTCTTCTGATGAAATTGTGTATGGCTGCGTATAAATTTTTGTTGAATCTGATGAAAGAGAAGGAATATATATGCCGTGAACAATATATCGGAGAACAGTATGCTCCTCAACTTTCTTCAGGAAAAAATAAACACAAATAGTTGGGACTTGGGGGTATATATGTTCTATAATAGATAAATCAAGGGTATATTTGTTTCAACTTTGTGTTTAGTTGTCCCAATTTTTAAGGGGTGTACATGTTCTCTGTCATATAACTCAACAGTATATTGTTACTTATTCCAATCTGTAAAATATCAAACTGAATTATTCAGTGGGTGTCTTTGAGAATTTGCATCTGTGTGTAAGATATATATGGTGTAATATCTTAGGTTGAAGAATTGGAGAAAAAACATTGATGCTTTAGGAGATCTGATCGCTTAGGCTAGTTTTGTAAAATCAAGCTGATAAGCCATCTAAAATGATAGCTGATATGCTAGTTGATCTCATATTGTGTTGAGTAAAAATTAGCCAACAGACTAATTTAGAAATATATAATGATGTGTAGTGGAATTATAAATAATTTTTAGAAAAAGAGAGAGGTCGAGGTGGAAGTGTGGAACTACTCATAAAGAGTATTAAGTTATTTCGAAAACTACTCATAAGAAACTGATCGAGTAAGCAACCTTAGAAGTTTTATTAACTTCAACCTTAAAGAAGTTTAAAGAGGTTTTAGTATCTTAAAGCACACCAAACATAGACTTAGTGCTCTGACTGAACCCCTCAAGTGGCTGAATGCTAAGTGCTCCCAGAGCATCCCCCAGAAGGTCCAGAACCACTTCCAGGAGGATGGAATGCTGGATGGCTGCAGTCTTATAGAGTAGAACTATAGAAGCTTTTATTATGGAGTAAAACTTTTCATGTGGATTTGTGAATGTTGATTTGTGTTTGTTGAAATGCTGGGGCATAACTGCTACTCGTCTAATATAATAACAAGTTAACAACAGTAATTAGTAGTAAATAATCAGGTTTCCTGTTTTTTTTTTTGCATGTGCAGAGTGAGGAAGATGTTGGGTCAAACTGAAACTGCAATGAGCAGGGAGAAACTTGTCAAAGTGCTGGAAGACCTGCAGGCCCAAGCTGAGGTGGGGTTATGCTTTGTGGGTGTCAAACATTAATACTTGCACTAATGATGATGATGATCCATTCGTCCCCTCCTACACACATTGTACAGTTAGCAGTTTTGGTCATGGTTAATGCTCTTATGTTCCCCATTCAGGTTATGTAACAGCTCCCCCCATATAGGACAATTTCTTTATAGGGGCGTTTACTAATTAAATTAAAAAACTAGAAAACTGTAATACTTTGTAGTTTTTTATGGCTTGGAAAATAGAAAATATGTTTATTTCGTCTCTTTTCAAATTTGGAATAGATGACAGTTCACCAATGTCTTTTGTTTCAGTGTTTCACCATATAATTAGGAAATTTATTTTTAATGTTTTTCAAAATAGATAGCAGTTTTCTTAAGTTAAAACTTAAAACTATCATCCAAGATAACTCTGACTGCTGCGCATTCCATCACTGTTTCATGAGTATACCATGAGTTAAATTTGGATTATTGGGCGTTTTGGCATAAACATAATACTGAATTACTGATGTCATGTGTGAACTTTGATATCCCAAAGTTTTAGTTATGTATCATAATATCGTTTGTGTAATGTGTATAATCTCGAAATATTGAAAAGATATAAATATAGATTTTTAATACTAACTCCGTCCCATTTTTCGCATCTACTTTTGGTTTGACATAACTATTAATATAACTATTAATAAAGTGGTTGAAAAGTAAGAGCCCGTTTGGAGAACTCTGTTTTCGGCTTATCAGGCTTATCAGCCAGCTTTTTCACCAAACACGTAATTTTTACTTTCGCGCGCTGAATTGTGTAATAAGCCGAAAAAGTAAGGTTGAAGTTACTTTTCTGGCTGTATTGGCTGAAGTTACTGTAGAGGACCATTTTAGCTATTTTTACATATAATTTTTTCTTTAATTTATTAATAAAATATATTTTTAAAATATTTTTTTTCTTAAATCAGCAGAATCAGCCAAAACAGCCACTCCAGCCAGAATATCATAAATTTCAGCAGAATCAGCCAAAACAGCCGATTTTGGTGCTACCAAACGGGCTCTAAAAGTTATTGTTGCAATTTGAATATAATAAAGTGAAATGCTATGCATAACATATTTCTTTTCAAAAAAGAATGTGACACTTATTTTGGAAATAGTATGTCGAAACTTTTGAAAATAAGTATATGAAATAAAATTTAGCCATTTAGGCATATACCGTGCCATCATCTGCTTTTATTCACTTACCTCTCAGAGTCTCACTCTCACTTTGTTATGGTCCTTGTAGTGGGATTTAATTAACCAAAACTCATTAATATAAAAATTTAGCGTATTAACTTATGTGATTTAGAAAATGTGTTAAATAATTGTCCATGCACAAAATCTCATTTATGAATACATTTAATAACTCGAAAATCATTTTTCTTAATATTATATGTAGTAATTGAATATGTAAGTCTTTGTAAAAGATCTCTTTTATGCAAACATGTTAATCAATTTGACAATTAAATTTGTTCATAATTAAATACCGTGTATAAATTTATAACATGTGGGAACTTTTACTTTATCAATCAACTTTAAGTTAAAAGTCAGAAGCAATGTTGCCAACATTAAGAAGGGTAATCATATTCTAAAGGTATTATTTTATTCCAAACCTGCCCTCGCTGGCATATTCTATTCCAAACAATGTTGCCAACATCATCAACTCATAGCTGCAGCACGGCGGTCGCCTCGGAAGGACGGATTTCATATCTGACACAGTCGTCCTCAGTTAGCAGCAACTCATCGGCAATGGGAGAAGCGTCGGCTCTATGTGAATTGGTTAATTTTGAATGATTCAATTGATAATTACTTGATAAACTAGTTTTTTTTTGGGATGAGATAAACTAGTTTATTTTAAAAACATAAAAGTGACGCATTTCAAATATCCCAAAATAAAATGCTCATAGCTCATTAATGAGCACTCAATCAATATATATATGTATAAAAGAGGAACTTTTTAAGAGCATACAAAGCGCCACATAATCTTGCCATGTCATTTTATATATTAATTATTTAGTTATTTTCATATCTTCTATTTTTATTAACTAGATTCTATTTTTGATTGCATATTGATATGGAAACAAAAATTCGTAAAAAGTACTATATTTTTTTTGGTGTAAAAAAGTACTATATTAAACATGCTTTATATTAGACTAAGTTTATATATAATAGGTATTCTTAGCCAAAAATACGTTTTAATTTCTATAACAATTAAATGTTATAGTATATGTTTAGGCTTAGAATTATGTGTTAGAATTATACGTTTTAATTCCATTATAACCATTATATTAAATGTTATAGTATACGTCTATACATTTAGGCTTACAATTTAAAAAACATGCTCTATATTTAGACTTTTTTTACTTCATATATATTAAATTTCTATGAATATCCATCTTCATAAGATTATATTAAATGTTTAAAATCGGGTTCATAACAATTATATTTGCTCGAAATGCTTAGGTAGAAGATCAATTTAATTATTTTTCATATTATCTTTTCCTGGCTTCACAAATGAAATATATTTTACATATTTTTTCACGATTGAGGAGATTCCACCGATTCAGCTCATTCAGTCATAATTTAATCAATTTCAGTAAAATAAGTTAATTCAATTTATTTTCGTATTATCAAACAAGCTCTATATTAGATTAAGTTTATTTTTCTTTTAAATCACATTACATATGATCCGAAAGAACTCAAATTTCAAATTAGCTAAATTACATAGACTTGAAAGCTAGTCTGATGTATGGGAATAAGTTTACGTAGGCTTCACATATTTACAAATTAAATATATACGGTAAATGAGATTCACTTTAATTATGTAACTAATAGGTTATAGGCTCTACATATTTGCAAAAGACTTGGCATCGAGCCTGATACACGCACATTAAAATTATTGACTATACAGTCTATACACAAGAAGCTCGCTATGTGGATTATGGATAAGGGAACTTGTCTCAAGCTCATCCTGTGAGGGTATTTTCATTGAATTTGAGTCTGATATCAGAACAAGTCAAATCAAATTTAAACAGATCATATTAGAATAAATCAAACTTAAGCAGATCAGACCAGGTTAGATCACATTAAACCTTAACAATTTTAAAATACACAGAGATCAGATGCTTACGGTAATCATAAAACTTCAATCCAAACTTTGAAAACTCCTCTTCAAAGAGCAAATAGCTAGCGTATGATATATACCAAACATAGCATCCGGTGTATACGAATCGAATCGAGTCGAATAGTGAGATTTTGTATTTGTAATTGTTTAATTTTTCCGAATACGAATCCGAATTCGAATATGAAACGAATATTACTTTCGATTTGTATTTGTATATGTTTAACAATACGAATAATTAACGAATCATATACGAATATCGAATCGATTTGAGCATAAGTTAACTATTTGTCAAACATCACTTTAAAGTAATTTTTCTTATATTTTTTAAGTTATAAATGCATGCTATGACTTAATATGTGTTTTTAAAATTTACTTTGTAAAAGTACATTTTTCTTTAAAATTTAATGGATCGATGCATTTTTAGGTTGTGTACTAACACTAAAATATTAGAAATTATACATATAATGTGTGAAATAAGTTGATAATTGTATATATCATAGTCAAACGACTCTAATTTTATTCTTTGAATTGAATACATAATTATTTGTATTCCCATTTGAAAGATATTTGAAACAAAAATATGATTTGTATTCGTATTTATATTCTATATTTTCAAATTTAAATCATATTTTTTGAATCCAAATCACGAATCGAATTAAAATCATTTGCTTCCCTTACAGGCTTACAATCCTTACTCCATATGACACTTCTGATTTATTACAAATGAGCTTGAAATTTGTATACATAAATGTATATATGGACTATATTTTGAGTGTATAACTATCATTTAAAAGTTATTAGAGTATTATTACTATTACTATTCATATTATTATAAATATTATCACTATTATTAATCGACTATATTTGATTAATATTCGAATCGAATACATTGATATTCTTATTTGTATTTGATAACAATTCGAATCAAATTTAATATTTTTATTTGTATTTGTATTTGAAATTTTCGAATTCGAATAGTCTTATACAAATTCAAATCACGAACCGTGTATAAATTATTTGATTGGTTTAGAACCCTTAATTCCCACATTCCCACATAATTGGCAGTTGGCACAGCGTAGACACTCACTCGATAGACGGAGCATCCCTGCCAAAACCATTTCGAAGAGGCCGATTGCTTTCTATTTAAGACGTAGTAGTAAATTATAGTTTTTCTTCATGTGGATGTATGCATAATGCATGGTGATTATTGTCCTATTGAATGCTTTGTCATATATGCTACTCTATCATGAGTCCATTTGCTTAATCTATTGAAATTGATGAAGTTATGGCTGTAACGGCTAAATTGATTGAGTTGTTGAATTATGGAGGGACAATATATAAATTATAGAGTACATTTTATTAATAGAATAAACAAAAAATTATCTGAAAAATAATTTCAACCTTCCATATTTTTATTATCACACAATTCAACGCACAAAACCAAAAATTACGTGTTTGGTAAAAATGTTGGCGGGCAAGTCTAAGAAGCTCAAAAGAGCGGTTACCAAACATGTTCACTTTATAATTATAATAATAGTAATTATACTACTAATAATAGTAATAATAATCATGATCATAATAAGAGGTTTTTTCATGAATATTATTGAAATATATTTAATTGACAAAAATATTATGATAGTTACTATGCATAGTCATTTTCGTGATAGCCACTAAGTCATATTTCTAACCACTTTTTTTTACTTCAATCATATTTGTCATTATTTCTAATACTAATATGTTACCGCAGCTCCAGTACTTTGACTTCCTAATATATTACTACTTTATGTCAAATTTAAAAAAGTTAAGCAAAAAATAAGAGTAGAAAAGATGATGGTGGTGAAGATAGTGAAGATGGTAAATGTTGAGGTATATACGAAGGAGAGGGAAGAAAGTAAAGAGAGATTGAATGAAAGGAGAGAAAAGATGGGTAAAAAGATAGGTAAAAAGATGAATTTTTAAGGGGTCTATATAGTATATCCAAAAGGTGTACACAAAATTATTATTTGTGACGGGAAGAAGAGAATGTTACCCGAAATAGGACTAAAAAGATTTGAAAATTCTAAAATAGGATTGCCAGGTTTTTGTTCCCAAAATAGAATTAATTACTGCCGTGTTTTGGCAGTATCAGACTTCAAACATGACAGTATTTTCTAAATTTGACAGTAATTACTCCTATTTTGGGAATAAAAAACAAGACAG